ATGCTGTGGGATCAAACCCAGCTCCTGATCATCCCAGGGCTGATATTTTGGGATTTTGGTGTCCCCCCAGTGATGATTGAGGGTTGCCCTGTTGAGGTTCTGGAGGGGTGGAAAATTGGCTCCCAGGGGTTTTTGGGAAGAGCCAGGCTGTGGGAATCCATCCCCTGGGAATGTCTGTGTTGCTGAGGGGTCAGACCCTGATCCTGATCATCCCAGGGCTGATATTTTGGGATTTTTGTGGGTTCTCTGAGGATTGCCCCTGGATATCCATGGAGAGGTTGTGGATGGATGGAAAATTGGCTCCCAGGGGTTTTTGGGAAGAGCCAGGCTGTGGGAATAAATCCCCTGGGAATGGTTTGTGGTGCTGTGGGGTCAGACCCTGATCCTGATCATCCCAGAGATGAGATTTGGGATTTTGGAGTCCCCCAAGTGGTGACTGGGGATTGCTCTGCACATCCAGGAAATGTTTGGGAGGGCTGGAAAATTGGCTCCCAGAGGTTTTAAGGAAGAGCCAGGCTATGGGAATCCATCCCCTGGGAATGTCTGTGTTGCTGTGGGGTCAGACCCTGATCCTGATCATCCCAGGGCTGATATTTTGGGGTATTTTTGTGTCCCTCCCCCCCCAGCTATGACGGGGATTGCTCTGCCCATCAGAACATCAGCCCGTTGGCTCCCAGGGGTTTTAGGGAAAAGCCAGGCTGTGGGAATCCATCCCAGGGAATGTCTGTGTTGCTGTGGGGTCAAACCCTGATCCCAGGGGTGCCATTTTGGGGTGTTTTTGTGTGTTCCCCCCCCGTAGTGATGACCCGCGGCGCCGCCTTCAGCCCCTCGTACCGGTTCACGCTGAGCGACGGCACCGTGCTGAGCGCCCACACCAAGTGCAAGCTCTGCTACCCCTCCAGCCCCGAGCTGCAGCCCTTCATCATGGGCATCCACGTCATCGACAGGTAACGCCTGCCCACTGCCCTCTGCCATCGCCCCAGCACGCCTTTGCCCGCTCCGGAGGGACCCGTGCCACTCCCAAATTAACCCCCCCACCATCACCGGGCTCTGGAAGCTTTGGGAGACCCTCCCAGTGCCCAGCTCTTCCCAAAATCCATCCTAAACCCGCCCTGGCTGAGCTCCAGCTGCTCCCTCTGATCCCACATGGATCAATGTCCCTGGGAATCCCGCCCTCCTGGGAATTTGTATCCGACTCTCCGGCACCACCCGTTGGATTCCCAAACCACCACCCCACCTCCCCGAGCTCCGGAAGCTTTGGGAGACCCAACTTTTCCCAAAATCCATCCTAAACCCGCCCTCCAGCTGCTCCCTCCGATCCCACATGGATTGGTGTCCCTGGGAATCCCGCCCTCCTGGGAATTTGTATCCGACTCTCCGGCACCGCCCATCGGACTCCCAACCCAACCACTCCCATCCCGAGCTCTGGAAGCTTTGGGAGACCCTCCCAGTGCCCAACTTTTCCCAAAATCCATCCTAAACCCGCCCTCCAGCTACTCCCTCCGATCCCACCCATGGATCTGTGTCCCTCCTCTTCCCACTCCCGGGAATTCGTATCCGACTCTCCGGCACTGCCCGTTGGGATTCCCAAACCACCACCCCACTCCCCGAGCTCTGGAAGCTTTGGGAGACGCTCCCAGTGCCCAGCTCTTCCCAAAATCCATCCTAAACCCGCCCTCCAGCTGCTCCCTCTGATCCCACACATGGATCTGTGTCCATCCCTCCTCTTCCCACTCCCGGGAATTTGTATCCGACTCTCCGGTACCGCCCGTTGGGATTCCCAAACCACCACCCCACTCCCCGAGCTCTGGAAGCTTTGGGAGACCCTCCCAGTGCCCAGTTTTTCCCAAAATCCATCCTAAACCCGCCCTCCAGCTGCTCCCTCCAATCCCACACATGGATCTGTGTCCCTCCTCTTCCCACTCCCGGGAATTCGAATCTGACTCTGCCCGTTCCCTCTGATGGGAAGAGGATCCACCTGGAGCTGGTTTGGAACCGGGAGTGGGATCCCAGCGGGAAACCCGAGGCTCGGAGCAGCTTCCCAGCTCCTGCTTCTTATCCCTGGTTTTTTGTTTTTAGCTCAGGGAAAAGAGCTTCCCATTCCTGGGGGGGGGGGGAAGGGAGGGATTATTTTGGGAAGAGGGACACAGGGACGTGGGTGTGGCTTCCTGGGAAGATGGGAAAAGGGGCTGGAATGTCGGGGTTGGTTTGATGAGCCCCTGGAATGCCACATTTTTTGGGAATGGCTGCCGGGAATGGCCGCAGGGAAGATCCTGTGAGCCCCTGGAACGCCACATTTTTTGGGAATGGCTGCAGGGAAGATCCTGTGAGCCCTTGGAACGCCACATTTTTTGGGAATGGCCGCAGGGAAGATCCTGTGAGCCCCTGGAACACACATTTTTTGGGAATGGCTACTGGAAGATCCTGTGAGCCCCTGGAATGCCACATTTTTTTGGGAATTGCTGCAGAGAAGATCCTGTGAGCCCTTGGAACGCCACATTTTTTGGGAATGGCCACAGGGAAGTTCCTGTGAGCCCCTGGAATCCCACCTTTTTTTTGGGAATTGCTGCCTGGGGATGGCTCCCGAGAGGAACACCCCGGAGCTCGGGAATGAATCCCCCCTTTCCCTCTCTTTCTTTGCAGGGATCACGGGATGCTCCCCCCTCAGGACGCCCCTTCCTCGGCCCTGCCGCGCCTCAGCCCCGCCATCAGCACCCCCCCCGCGGGCTCTCCGGGGCTGCCTCCCCCCATCCCCAACTCCAACGGCACCGGCGCCTTCGGATGCTCCCCGGGAGGCCAAATGGGAGCCGCGGGCCCCTTGAACCAAGGACAGGGAGCCAACCCCGCCCTGGGCAGCCCCGCCATCGGCCCCTCCCAGCCGCCGCCGCCGCCGCAATTCCTGTCCCCGCGCCACCGCCTCAGCCCCGGAGCCGTGCCCCGCGCCAGAGGGCCCCCCAACCCCCTTCCCAACCCCCTTCCCAACGCCATTCCCAACGCCATTCCCAACGCCAACCCCAACCCCAGCCCGTTCTCCCCCGCCGGGCACTCCCCGGTGGGCGGTGGGGGGGGCGGTGGGAGCGGTGCCCGCCCCTTCCCCGCCGGTCCCGGTCCCGGTCCCGGTCCCGGTCCCGGTCCCGGCGCCGTCAGCTCGGCGCTGCCCGAGGGGCCCGTGGGTTATTCCACGCCACCACCGGCACCACCAGCAGCAGCGCTGAGGCAGCTGGGCGGCTCGCAGGGCTCCCCCGGCCGCCTGCCCGGCAAGGCTGAGCCCAGGGAGGGCAGGGATGACGCCCCTGGGGACACCGAGGGCAAAGGGGCGGCGGATCCGGGAGCGCCGCGCCTCGATGGCGATCCCAAGTGCCCACCGGGATCGGGACCGGGATCGGGACCGGGATCGGCGCCCCACAAGCTGGTGCAGCTGCTGGCCAGCACGGCCGAGCAGCAGCTGCGGCTGGCCGATGCCGACACCAGCTGCAAGGACCCGCTGGTGCTGGGAACCGGGAATGCTGGAACCGCCGCCGGATCCATCGTCACCGGGACGTGCCCGTCCTCCCACAGCTCCCTGACGGAGCGGCACAAGATCCTGCACCGGCTGCTGCAGGAGGGCAGCCCCTCCGACATCAGCGCGCTGGGCAGCGCCGAGCACGACAAGAAGGAGGGCTCGGGCGTTCCCGGTGCTGCTCCCGTTCCCGGTGCTGCTCCCGTTCCCGCCGGTGCTCCCGGTGGTGCTCCCGGTGGCGATGCCGAGGCGCTGAAGAAGAAGGAGGCCAAGGACCACCAGCTGCTGAGGTACCTGCTGGACAAGGACGAGAAGGAGCTCGGCCTGGACGAGGGGAAGGTGAAGGTGGAGAAGGCGGAGCCGGCGGAGCCCTGCGGGGCCGCGCCCGCCGCCGGCCCCGGGACATCGGCGGTGCTGGGAGAGGAGGGCAAGGTGGACACCCAGGGGCAGGTGAGACGATGGAGATTT